ATTAACCCTTTGTTGTTTTTTAGGTTTCATATAATATTGCAAAGCAACATGCTCATTTAATTTTGTCAAGCAAATAACTATGATTTCTGTTTTTTGTTTTTTTTGGTTATATCATAAATGTATCGTTATTGTCAGAATGCTCTGAAATATCACAATATTATATATAAGCCATATTGCCCACCCGTATGCCCCAGTCCACGAATGATGTGGTGAAAATGCATCTGTACCCACCACGTCTGCATGCTCACTGGGAAACAATAGGAGTGTGAAAATGAGCGACAGACATCTCACCACACACACCGCAGCCGCCTATAAATGGGAAAAAAATATTGCATGGCACATACAGATACTATCACACATCTTTGCACTCAGTCTCCCACTTTTTCCCACGTGCACACACACAAATATCATAAAATAGGAATTCAGTTCTAGTTGTGAAACTCCCGTACGCAGCTCAGCCTGCAGATTCTTTATGCACCCTTTTTCTCATTTCGTTTCGCGGCCGTTTGTTTGCGCTGAAAATATCTGCACGTCACAGCGCCAGCCGACACAATTCACATGTGGTAGTCATCAATCATAATTATCTCGGTTTAAAAAAGCCACAGCTGTTATTTGATTTTAAAAACAAGCCATAGCACAGTGCCTTCCAACGACACGTCAAGCTGTCAGCAGAGGCCTTGGCCTGCTCAGCAGAAATGTCTCTCTCTAGCTTCCCAATGAGCTTGTTGGAGTCCACAGCCGAGCCGAGCAGCGTTCAACCTTTCCCCATGACTCACCGGTGAGCGTCTTTATTTTTAAACATTTTCTCTCTCTCCATTGCCATGTGTTTATCCTGCCTGAGAGAGGCCGCTGTTATGGACTTCACACAACGTTTGTTTATGGCTTCTTTAATCAGGACCAGATAATGGAGAGTTGTCTCCATCTGTGGGCGCATCCCCAGAAGCTGGCTGCGTACATGTGTCTCCATGAGTGTGTTTGTGTGCTGCTCGGCTTTAATGATCCTTCCAGAGCGTTCCAATAAATACTCTCCTCAACAGATAATTGCTGCACAGACGATGAATAGGATTAAGGTGTGTATGTGTATTGTCCGTGAGGCCACACACCTTTTTGGGGCTGTACATGATGTCAAACAGTCCTAATTATGTCATCTGGTGTGCTATTACTGCTTGCTGTGTAATCTCCATGGCAACTTTATAGTCGCTTTTATTCATCTCAGGTCTAATGTGTTACCCTTGCTTTATTATACTCAAGGAACTAGGCAATATGTGTAGTGGTTTTAAAAAAAAGTACATTCTTTTATATGTATATTGCTGCATTTATTTTAATTGTTTTACAATTATACACTTTATAAACCATTGTTGAAGAGCAATACAACAAAAAATTGTTTTGAAATCATGTATTAAACAAAATATCAATAAATGTCATAATCTTTGCATCAGATGTTTGTATTACCCATATAGTAGAAATAAAACGTTCAAGATGTGTTTGCCCACCAAAAATCACTGTGCTCTTTTTTGAACAGGCCTTCCCTGCAAAAATAAATAGCTGCAAGATATATGAGAACTTGCTGAATATCTACCCAGTTGAGGCAAATCAGGCTATACATATGAACATTTTAGAGGGGATAAGTGGTAATAATTCCATTTTTTTCCCATGCAAATAATGTGTTTGTGTTTTTGAATGTCCATTGCCATGGAAGGTGGGCAATCATGCAAGTGCCTGTGCATGAGTGTGTGTGTGTGTGTGTGTGTGTGTATGTGGTCTATCAGCAAAACATTTAATGAACCAGCAGATGGATTTCATTGAATCTCTCAAAAAGTAATCACTGGATGAACTTCAACTTATTGACTTCAATCAACTTGAGTCTCACTTGAATCAATCCCATTCAAGATGGTTACCACTGATAATTAGCCTTAGTGTACTCAGTTAGTCTTACAGATTTGGAGCTAAATTTTGGTGTGGTAGTAGCTGAGAGTCATCACTAACACATGCTCTGAATGCTAACAAATCAAGGTCCAAGGTTCTTTATTGTCATTCGCATCACATGTGGTACATGAGGTGGAACGAAACTGTGTACTCAAGGTCCCAGTTACACCCCAAAATAGCAAAAATATAAAAAGAAACAGTATACAAGGATCTAAGATATACACTAAACAATAATAGTGTAAAAACTACGGTACAACAGCCTGGACATGAGTCTGTTGTGTGCAGATGAGTATGAATACAGCAGCTTAAAGTCAAGAAATCAGTAGCATGGATAATCAGCAGCACAGATAAAGTCACATATCACCAATTAAAGTGTCATTACAGTGATTTTCCTGGTTAGGGATTTATGAGTCTAACAGCTTCAGGGTAGAAGCTGTTCCTCAGTCTAGTGGTTCTACACTTAATGCTCCGCAACCTCCTGCCTGAGGGGAGCGGGGCAAAAAGTGTGTGTGCTGGGTGAGTGGGGTCCTTCATGATGATCATCTAATGTATTTTAAAGTTTTAGTTTACAAGACAGCAGGCTGTAATGATTCTTTTCAAAGGATGCTAATAGTTTAAGTTGTAAGGGACAATTTGACTTATTCTCAATGCACTGGAAATAATTTCTGGTTATCTTTTTAAACTTTTGTTGAGGCAAAAACATATTTGGAATCTATTTCTCTGAAAGACGGAAAGCTCTTCAGATTTTAAATTGACGTCACCAAGTTTACCAGGAAAAAAAAAAAAGACTATTGGACCCAAGAAGTCAGAGGCTACATAAAATAAAAAAAATAAAAAAACTTTACTACTTCACGTAGTGTCTATAATATTTGGCACCTTTGGTAGCTTCTGAATCTAATGTTAAAGAAAGGTTTTATATGGAGACCTTTTTTTTAAATGTCAGATTTAATAAGGATACAATTTTTGATTATTCAAATGGGCCAAAAAGGTCAACACTTTCCATGTGAACGTTTTTTTCACGTCATATTATTTGCATCGCACTTTATTAATCTTTTGTGAATAATGGCAACAGTAGTGCTGAGAAAAATTAAATAAAGTTACGATTGGCTCAATTAAACTTAGTTGGATTCAGTAAAATCATAATACTTGCATATATTAAGTGACACTGATCATTTTCATGAATTAGTATGTGTTTTTCACTTGTATGTTCTCCACCTCTTTCTTTTATTTTATTTTTTCATGATTTGCAACATATTATATAAATGAAACTTGGAACATTTTAGAGGTTTTCAGACATCTTTTGAAGTAAAAATGCATGTTTTTCATGGTAAGTAAATGCACTTTGGGTTGCACAAACAGGTCAAAAATATTTTGTTTCTCCATAAACATCTTTATTAAATGTTTTTGTACCTGAGTTATTTATGGTGCCATGCAATCTTCATCATTTCCTTTTTTTTATTTTTCCAGTCCAACTTAATGACATATTATCACTAGCTGTCAAAGCACATTACCATGCTCCATAGAATAACTGTGCAAAAAGCAACATCTTTTAGTGTGTTTGCAAAATAATAGGGGAGTCACTTTATGTCAGACAGAAATGATACTCAAGTTACCACCAAGACAGAGTAATAATAATCAAAATATCACATCAAAATTTTTAAATTTAAGGATATTTTTCCTAAATGCAATTAAGGAATGAGCTATTTTTTATATAACAAGAGTCAAAATAGTCTCTGCTGTCAGACCAAAAGCTGTGGCATTTATAACAGGAAATTTCCATCCAAGGAAGCTAACATGCTGTTGTTACGCTTTGAAAGGAAATTGTTAAATACCAGCAGATGATGCAAAAATGATACATAATGATCCAACCTGCAAAACTTCACGGTGAAAAGAAACACGACTGCATGCTCAACATTTGGTGAGATCACATCTCCTCACTCCAAGTGACAGCTGATGTCCACACCCCATCGTTTGATGTTAAATGTTATCATTGACAAAATCCCAAACTCTTAGTATACTCAACTTGTCTCATCTACTAATTATGATTGGCAAGTAAAATATCCAAATGTTTAAAGCTGAGAGTTGTTATACAGGGATTTTTCCAGGTCTCCCTTGAAGCTGGATGTAGATCAGGCCCGAGGACAGATCCATTCAGAGCCCCAGTCAACTTGGCTGACTGGACAAACAAACAGCCAGTGTGTCAAAACTCCCAACTGTGAAGGGCTTCTGAGAGCACAGTTTACACTTGCTAGCCTGGTGGTCTGGCTGCATGAGCAATGGTTATTGTCATATATACATGCAGGCACACACATACTGACGAACCTCACTGCTGAAGACTCATGCAAGGCCCCAAGGACTGTGAAAGCAAAGAAAGGATGACGTAATACCTCCTGTCTTTCATTGTGTTTATCAAAGAGGTGACCTTACACGACTGGGGCCACAAGGTTATATATGTTTTCTACCAAAAGCTGACTCATGAGTCTTGAAGTGTTAAAATCTTGTGTACGTGCCACAAGGATGTGTGCGCACATGCTTCACCTCTTTCTCTTTCACTGAAACACAGCTGCATCAACACCCATCACGCAACACACACGCTCGCGTCGGCGTACGTGTCAGGCAGGCATAGAAATGTAGTGTGTCTGTCAGAGCGCTGAACAAAGAGGGAAGGTGCTGGACTCCGGAGAAACCTGAGCAAGAACCTCAAAAGGAGAAAAAGAAGTGAGGGGGGGGGGGGGGAAGAGATGGGTAGATACGAGGGGAGCCCGAGGGGTCAGATGTGAAAGAAAGTAGAGTGAGACATCTGGAAAAGAGAAAGAGTCCATGGGATGAGGAGGAAATTACAGCTGCCCAACTATGATTCATTGGGGAAAATTCTCTTCTGCATCTCCCTGTTCACCCTTTGTCCTCCCACCTCGATACCTAACCCTTTAAACTCCCTCTCCCTTGCTCCCTTCTTTTGGTGATTGATTGCCAAGTGAAAAAACACATTATAAACATTTGTTATTTCACATCCTGAGTACTTTCAAAGGCAAACAATAAGGTATGCACTGATGCTTTCCATTTTGTGTCTCTAGAGACCTGAGCATGAACAACATCAGTGAGATCCAGCCCAGAGCCTTCCACCGACTGCACCTGCTATCAGAACTGTGAGTACAAAATCATTCAGCTAACACTCAGTTTATGAACCCCCTATTGTGACAATTTACACATGACAAGAAACAGCCATTTCCTGAACTGCTGATACGCACAGACCTCAGAGATGAGGTTGATGGTTCTGGCCTGCCTCTGATCTCCCCAACCAAGCTTATTGCCTGCAGCAATAAGTTAGTAGATCCCAGGATGGCTGTACAAAAAAAGAACAAAAGGGAACCTGATAGTCACTCTGAGAGTGAATATATGGTCCTAAAGTATGTGCTGGGTAGGTCTTGTGCTCTGCATCAAAGTTGCTGCTTTTTTCCACCCTTGATTTTGTTTCAGCTGGACAGCTCAGCAGAAGAAACACACTTGTGGACACAAACCTTTGCCAAAGCACACTATGGAGGAACTATAGTTTTTGGTTAATGAGCTACAAGGGCTAAACAGTTTTCACAAGTCTTACAAGGTTGAGTCAGGTCCTTTGGACAGATTCTTCTTTGTTGACAACAACTTCTTTGTTCAACAAAGAAGAATCCGTCCAGAGGACCTGACTCAACCTTGTTAGATTTATCTACCTGGATTATTGAGCATGCGTCAGGACAGTTTTCACAACTTTGGGGGAAAAAAGTGATTACAAGGAAATGTCCATCCTTTGGGTGCCCAGATGTATTTATTTTTTGTAGATGGTGTAGTTGCAAGCGTAGATGACCCTCCATAAAGGCTCTCAGCAATTCCACATATATTTATCCATTGGGATTTCAACAGTCAGCTGAACAAAATTCAAAGTGGTAAATTTGGGGGAATTGTTACACAATTGGAATACTTACAAGTAAAACAGATACGTTGAATTATATAGTTAAGTTTGTGCATTAAATGCAATTTTTGTACATCCTATTCTAAAATTCTTGCTGTGTAACAGTTGTATTTTCTTAGTGGCAATTCCAACTGTTCAGGAGGACTGGAGTGAGTACAGCTTGTCTCAATATAAACAGCAGCTCTGCTACGTTATTGTAACAATTTGCTCACACCATGACCAACAGATGAGTATAATTTCACCCCTACTCTCATAACTGTACAACCACTGCTAGCTGAAGTATTAAAAGTTAAAGTGCTGGAATTTCAGAGAATAAAATGTAGCTACCACTTCTATCTACTGAAGCTGCTACAACTCTTACAGTTGGTGATTAGCTTTGTAACCACTGCCAACCAAACTATTTAGACGTCTATGACTTTTTACTGACCTGCAAGTTTCACTTTATAGTAGCAGTAATAGGTTAACGCCAACGCACACACTCCGCAACAATTTAATACAGTTACCATGGCAACTGGTGGGACAAAATGAGAAAACTATGTCTTCCATAGTCTCAAAGTTTCATTTAATCAATGCTCAGATGGATGTGGTAAGTTGGTTGTTTTAATATAGTTAGTTGGTTACAAGATTACTATTTTGACATAAAATGAACACAATAAAAACTATACTTTGCCATATTTACTATGAGCTGAACAGAAAGTTTGTGCTTTCACAAAGAAGAAAGAAATGTAATTCTCATGGGACTGATGAAAGACATAAATTCACCTTTTGAACACGATCCCCAGTAACATCGCCAATATTTGATCTGACCATTCAGCAGAATTTAGCTAAGTCTCTGTTTTATAAAAGCTGCCTGCAAATTTGCCCCAAGGGTGTGAATATGTGTATGTCAGTCTTCACATGATTATTTTCCCCTGAATCCTGCAAATGTGTGTGTGTGTCTGTCTGCTTTAGGTGTTTGAACAGTCCTCTGTTTTCTTTACTAATTCCTGCAGCTGCGTGAGGCATGAGCTAATGATGATGAAGGTAAAAAGCCTGACTGGTTAACTGCTCAGTTCACTCTGAGTCCCAGTCCAACTGTGTTTGACCAGCAGGAGGATGCTGAGCAAAGAAAACTGGCCACACTTTGGTATTTGAGCATTTGTCAAGACGTTGATTTATTGTGGTTTACAGTATAGCAGCTATGAACTTCTGCTGTAGTTGGTGGTGTAATATTAGGAACCACAGAGTGCAGAGTGAACCTGAACATCGAGACTGCGCTGGGAAAATGAGTCGGAGGATGTCATGGAATGGCGTCTTGAATTAGGCTACACCTGCAGTGCTTGTCCACACACAGTCCTCCTGATGTTTTACAGCCCCACTGATCTATGCCTCTGTAGCGCTGAAGTTCTGACACTTTATGGAGACATTCTGTTGCTTTGTACTTCTTCCAAGGAAGATGCAACTGCTCTAAAGCCAAGTTTTGTTGCTGGCTGACCAATTCTGGAGACGTGCAAGGAGGATGATGAAGTTCCAAGGCTTGGAAAAGTAAATTTTTGACATTCACTTCTGTCTAGACGGTTTAGTGAGATGGAGCATAGTGGGCTAAGGTAAACAGATTATAACTGCAACAACTTATAACGCTTAGAAAAACAAGTCATGGTTGTAAACCTAAACATGGTTTGAGAGACGCAGCTTTTGATGTGGGACTTGCACACTGGTTGGTAGCACAGGGAGAGGCAAAGTCCAGGCATGTTGTGACTGGTAGAGTGATAAACTGTTTGATGTTGGGCTCTAACTTCTCCCTTCCTAACTCTGTCTCCCTCCCAGCCAACTCATTCTTATAGCTCCCCAATATTCATTTAACTGCAGGCTATTGCAAGCCAAAGTCTATGCCTTTGATAGTTTTCTTTTTCTTCTTCTCTTTTGGCTTCCGCTGCATTCTTAAGACCCAATCAAACCAATCAAGACAAATGTGCTTGTGGCAAGAACATTCATTGCTTTTACCCAACAGCAAGAAGAGGGAATAAAATCTCAAGAGCTATGAAGTATCCCTTAAGGGTCCCGCTCGTAAACGTAAATGATATTCATTCTTTTGCTGAGTTCTCACCTTTATAGTGCCGAGACAGCTAATCCTTAAAAACCTATAAGGCAAATCATTTACAAAACAGGTAGCAAAATGTAAAAAAAATAAAATAAATGGTGCCTTTGATTTATCGTGCATTAACATTAAATATAAGTTGTCATCATTGCTCATCCTTTTCCTGACTTCTAATTCTTTTTTTATTGTATTCAATTGATCCCAAAAACCTCTAATTAAGTCCTCATTTAACTCTTTGATCAGTGAACTACCTGAATTTAAAAACAGAACTACTGTCGGTGTAACGTAGCATAAAAAGAGTGAAGCGACTGTGTGTCTGGTTTAATGAGAGGGCAGCGATGCCCACACCACAGACTGAGAATTGTTACTTATTTATCAAAGACATCCCCTCCATTCAGACGTTCTGCTCAAATATCAAAGATGTGCTATCTGTTTCTGGTCAAATTGCAACTTGGAAGTGGATAGATGCAGTAAAACTGCCCTCTAAGAAGCTATTCCCTTAAACCGCTTTAAAGATGCCAGTGTTTCCAGTCTATCATCTTTATCAAAGTCCACACTGTTTGTACCTTCATAGATCACGTTTCACTTTTCCTTTTGTCTTTTACTCTTCACTTCTGGCTTACTCGAGTCTCTCGTGTTATCTGGAGCCATCAATCAACTTCTTCCGGTAATTATAGACCTGAAAGGAAACCATTTAAAATAGCCTGAAAGGTGAAGCTATCAGACTACCTATGGTTTTGCCATTTTTCACATGCAACACTGTGTTAGTTCCATAGTTAATGAATATGTAAAACATGGTGATAGCTCCCACTGTTTTGCTTAATTTGAGTTACAACTCCACACACCCAGCTCTAAAAGATCCATTCATCTAGACATGTCAAAATTCACCAGCAATCATGCAAACTGCATGAAGTTCAAATAAGAGGAATGAGATGGTGAGTGGAGGCCAGTGCTACCCTGCTTTTCTTCCTTGCAATGATAAGATTGTCTGCAGATATGCGAAGAGTCTGACGTAGCTATGGGTTAGGAGGTTGCAATATTGGCTGTGTTGGAGCTCCAGGTGCACCTCACAGCTGGAGCTATCCAGGTCAATTGGAAGTTCTCCTGACAACATTGTCGTTTGTCGGCACGTCTGCTGCTCTCACACACAGACATTCACAGAAAACAGACACTCCGGTCTTTATTTTACTCCCGCAATTTGAGAGGTTAACGGCAGGTTAAGTGGCTGACCCTGAGACTGGGCTGAGGGGTTAAACACCTAACCATTAAGATGTCTATTGATGGACCACTGCTATCAAAGGTCACACATGCACAAGCACTAACAGAAAACATATGTGCAACTTGTCCTCTCTCAGATAAGACCTGTTTATCCTCTCTGGCTCCTTTCATCATTGACTCCTATCACCCGCCAAGACCCTGCTGTGTCTCTATCACTACACAAGATTGAATCCAAAAATTTGATGTTGTTCTTTATCCTTGTTCTCTAACTCTTTAATCTGACAGTTTGTTTATTATTCTGAGGCAATGGGACGTAGCGATACATCAGATAATCAGCAGTTGGTATGCTTCAGTAAAGTCCTCACTGATTAGCACTGATAGCGGGGTGGTCTCACCTTTGTAACAAGCAGCACCACTGCCATTTTTCACCCACACATTCAAATTACACTGGCCTCTGTTCTTTCACATATGATTCATTTCAGCAGGACTGAATTAAGTTGAAGTTTATTTTTTTTATTGTTTTTTTTTTTTTTTTGTATTTTTTTATGCTGAGTGGGGGCCAAGAATAATCCCCAAATCAAATTAAAAGAAAAAACATTTGGAGCCAAGGTTTGACAAGAGTAAGGCGCCTTTCATTAGAATGAGATTGATGTGGAACGACTAGGAGGCTTAGTGTGGAACATTCACACATACGTACAATCACTCACACATGCAGACACACAAGACGACGCACATTGATATCATGGAAAGAGTTTGTCAATGGAGACGGCTAGTGTTCCGTGGATCGCTGTCAAGAAACATCTTTTTTTTTTTTTTGTCATTTATGAATATCCTTCCTCACTTTTGACATAACTGCCTATTTAACAAATAAAGTCTGCAAACATGAAGATTCAGGAAAAAACAAAACAGAGTTCTAGTCAAATGTAATTTTGACTTCAGTCATGCAGTAATGAAAGACTGGTTCTAGTTTAGAAGAGGAACACACATATTCAATTCAGTTCAGTTCAGCTGGGTTTGAGAGGAACGGATACACAATGGCAGGTCAAGAATCACATGTTAAGATAGAAGTAGTATCAAATTAAAACTGTTCAATTGTAACAATTCATTTTTAGGAAATGTGGTCAATTTATCCTCCAGTAGTCTATGCCTATGGCAGCATAATAAGCCAACCTTACTTAAAGGATTTATCAAACAGGAAAGTCTTAAGCCCAGTCCTAAAACTCGACAATGTATCAGCCTTATGGGCAGAAATTGGATGTTGGTTCCACAAGAGAGGAGCCTGATAACTGAAAGATCTTCCTCCCATTCTGCTCTTGGAAACTCTAAAAAACTTGGAAAAATAAGATGTGCAAAATAAGATGGAGCTAGGTTGCTGAGAGCCTTGTAGGCTAGAAGTAATATGTACACATTTTATTTTCTTAAGTATGAAGTCTGTTTTATTCCATCTATGGATTTTTTGTAAAAAAAAAAAAAAACAATTTAAGGTTGTTGATTTCATCCTACATTTCTACAAACAAATGATTGTGTTTGAACAGGCTCAATTCAAACAAAGGCACTTGTGCTTTTTCTTGACATATCCCTCTGTAAAATGTCCCCGCTGACCACCTTACATTGTGAAAACTGAAAATGATAGAAAACTAGTAGTTTATTTTTTGTCTTGGAGAGAAAGTAATGGGTACAATAATAATGAAAATCCAATCAAAAGCCAAATATGTTTTATTTTCATTTGACTCAAACAAAATGGAATTGGAAGGATCAGCTGTGTCTAATTTTTGTCAAATCTATACTTACGACTGTGCAAGGCCCAATTAATGTCTGTTTGACAAAGTTTTGGCTGTGGTTTGAGAGGCATGTATAAACGGCACCAGAATAGCTGGATAACAATCAGTTTGCATCCCAACATGCTGATGTGCATCTTTGTTGAAAAAAATATGAACTCTGTGAGAATTCTAGACTGAGCTGGGTGTGAGATTTGGCAGGCGTGGGTGGGGTTGTGCGGTTAGCCACTGCACAATAATATGAATGAGGCTTGTTGACATCAATATCAGATGTCAAATTGAGCTTTTTTTTTTCCATATACTGCCTGGATTACAACATCTTGGAAAGGCAGGATGCGATCAATGCTAATATTTCACTATAGACATTAATGATGCGACTTGGCCAGAGATCTGTTTAGCATAAAGCTGGAATGTCACCTGTAGAGAAATGGTTTGAGTTGGAGGAGGGTGCCAATGACTAACTTTAATTTGTGTGTCTGTGTATGAGTGTTTAATAAAAGTGGGTGGTCTTGGGCTGTGAAAACCAAATCTGTGTTTAAACTTTGTTTCAAGCTTGTGACCTTGAGAGTTACTCTGTTGGACTGAGTGTTATTTATTTGGACATTTTATACACATTCACAAATGACCATTAGGTGCTGTGTCTGATAAACAAACTGATTGGATTGCTTGTATGAATGTGTGTGGTTTCTCTCCCATGTCGTCCTCAAGGCCACTTGGATTGGGCCTAATTTCACCTCGAGAAAATGAAAATAGGTCAGCAGATTTACACCACACATGTGTTTATGTGCACAAACATTATATACATGCTCATATTCGCATACACACGAGCACACTTTTGCACACTGCACTTGTTGACCTAGTCTCAGTTTTTATTCTTTCATCAAAGCTCCAAGGATTGGTGAGGGTTTTAGGGTGCTTTCAGGGCCAATGGTAACCACACTGAAGGGAATAGAATATTATTTGCATACTGCCCCAACAGTAACCCCACAGCAGTAATTCTGAGATGAAGTCATGTCATAGCCTAATCCAAATACCCCCCCTCCAAGAAAGAAAGAAAAAACATTTGAAAAGTAAATGGTAAAACTGCTCTTTTGGGACTTGTAGATTTCTTTGTCAGAATTGTTATATTTCTTTTTTTCTTTCACATTTCTCTCTTTTAAAATTCATGTTTCTCTTCCAGGCGTATCTCAGGGAATCAACTGAGATATATCTCAGGCCAAGCTCTCCAAGGTCTACACAACCTCAAAGTCTTGTAAGTGGCTTCCTTCTTCCACCAACCTCTGCTAAAGTGGATTTGTTTTTATCGAGTTCAAAACCTCTACCCGTTTTTATACTCCGGCCTTCACAGAGTTGTCCTCCTGTCTCAAATGAAACACACTAGCTATGCATCATTAAGTGCAGTTAAACTTTATGAGTTGGAAGAAACACGCTCTGCTTGCAGCACCTTCAAGTCTCCAACAAGTTCCGTTGGCAAGCACACGGCTTCACAGGTGCAATGAAAGGACCTCACAATCACACTCGCTGCCGAGACTGCAGCGGGTGCCACTTTAGAACTGCATTTAAAGCCATTCTCTTAACACCCTGTTTTTCATACCGTATTCATTTCCTTTTGATTCGAGGCCACCAACTCTGTTTGAGCGACCATGAAGTATTAAATTATAAAAAGAGCGAAGCAGCAGTAAAACACATAGTACCTTCTGACATGCGGCATCTAATGAGTTGTGGTCATATTTCTTGTGGGTGCAGGACAAGGGTTTTAAAGAGGTTTTCATAAGCATTGGAAACTAGCCCCGTTTTGGGCTCTGGCTGAGAGAATTTTGAGAGTCAATGCCACAGGACATAAAGTTAGCTAGCACAATGTGGTTTGAAATCTGAAGGCATCTGGAGAAAAACCAGAGCCACAAGCTGATATTTTTAGACCTTGTTTTGCAAAACACAAAGGCAAAACTAACATATTTTCCGGCATATAAGTCGCATCAGTCAAAAAAAAAAATCATGAAGAGAAAAAAAACATATAAGTCACTTCGGCATATAAGTCACATTTATTATGCGTCACCACTGACCTGTCACGTTTATTATGCATTTATTTAATGCTCAAAACAGCTTCATTTCACATGGGCAGCACAGTGCCATCCATCCATCCATCCATCCATCGTAGCCAGAGCTTAGCGTTCCTCCACCTGCACCAGCTGAGTCAAGTAAATTCAAATTTATTTGTACTGTAGCACATTTAAAACAGGAACTGTTACCAAAGTGCACAAAGTGAGTGAAACAAGCGTGCACGGGAGGACTCGCTGTTGCAGTTCTTGGAAATTTAAAGTGTTAGTCAAAAATCGCGTTATGAATATGGGGGGGAAAAAAAACATATATAAGTCACTTCAGTGTATAAATCGCAGGACTGACAAATCTATGCAAAAAACTGCAACTTATACACTGGAAAAAAAAAAAAAAGGTAAATCAAGGAATATTAAAATTAAAAAATAATTTAACTAAGATGCATGTAAACATTCATGCTTTACACACAAAATGTGTGTAAATCAAAAATGCTGTAGAGCCACAGTCGTAAGGAACAGGTTTTTAAAAATCAGGTAATGACAATATAAATTAATCTTATATATGATCCTCACAGCTGATGGGCTTTGCTGTGAAATAGGAATACAATGCAGCGGTACAACCATATCAGCTCTGCTGCACAACCCAGTGGCATTTGCATCCCCCATGTTCAGTCGACAGGTCAAAATAAAAACTGATGGCAAGAGACTGAAAGAAAATTGAAAGAGAAAGCAGGAAAGGGTGAAGGATGAGAGAAGGCTATTGTTTGCACCTCTCTTCCCCCTCATTTTTGCGCCATTATTTTGAGAATGACATCACCAGCCCACCCAAGGAGGTTCTCTCCCCCCCCCCCAGCCTTCATCCTCTGCTTCTCTTCAAGCTTTCACAGGCCTTTCCCCTCTTGTGTCAGATTTCCCTCACTATGAAATAATTTGTTCTCCTTGATGTGAACTAACACACGATAAATCGTTTATAGCTGAATCATCTGTTTGTGTGTCAGGATGCTGCAAAACAATCAGCTGGAGAGACTTCCTGATGATGCTCCATGGGACCTGCCCAACCTGTTGTCCTTGTGAGTCTCTCTCTTGCATATGTACACGCACACACACACACACACACTAATCATGCTACTCCACCTCATCCAACAGGGAATTAAACATCCCTGTCGGCCACCCACACATCTTAGCTTTGACCGCAGTGCAGGTATAGAATACCACTGACAAATTACAGACCGTACCCCAGTGCTGGCTGCAACAGTTTAGCATTTAGCATGAGAGCTTGACGGTAGGAGTCACAGCACTGATTGTGTCAGTGCTGCTCATGGTAGCATCTGGAAGCCATGAGGGAAACAGCAGACACTGCAGGCCAGGGAGAGCATCTCCAATGAGCTGTGAAACAACCCTATTTTCCATCAATTCCCTCTCTCTTCCTCCTCCGTTCCTCCTCCACCACCCACACTGTTATCCCCCTGGCTAGTGAGATTGTTGGGTGGCTTAATTGTCTGATCTGTGGGGTCAGCGTATGCGTGTGTGTGTGCGTGATGAGTTGAGTGTATTTGGACTTTCTCATCCCTGCCCGTTGCCCTCAATTTTGCACAACACACGTAAGCCACTTCTCTGCGTTACAAATAATAATTATTTGTGGATATCCTTTCTTTCTTCACACGGATGCACAGATTGCTCAAGCCGTATCACAGAAAGGCTGGATGTGAAACACAATGAACTCCTCTACCACCTACAATGTTCTCTGTCTGCTCTAAGTCAGGCCTGTGTTTCCTCAGAAGCTAGAAAACTTGTGCACACGCATCCTTTTTCACAAGTTGAATACAGGACATGCACGCATACATTTCACCTGCCTCTGCCCTCTTGTGAATATGTCTTTCCAAAAAAACAACACAAGAAAAAACAATTTGCTCCCATGATGATCTGCCTTCAGTGTGTGTGAGGTCTTCTATCAATTTTATTTGGATAGAGATCACCTAATGCCATGAAAAGGCGCACATACTCACAGAATACACACAGCCAATGTAGAGACGCACCTTGTCATTATAGTAATGATAAGCTCAGCAGAGAAAGATTACTGGAAAGGCTTTGGAGAGTGAAGCTCGTCGGCGCCTCTCTTTGGCACAGAAAAACACTAGGTAAAAAAGACATAGAGAGAGAAACAGCAAATGAGTCACCGTACAAATTTTACATTGGTATAAGCGTATAAAGAAGACTTAGCCAGAGTAAATCATGACTTAATTTCAGCTAAAATCTCCTTGTCTGCAGACACTGATTAAGAAGAATTCTCTCACCTTTTGAAACAAAAGCGTTACCACACATAGCGTGAGTGCAGGTGTTCAGTTTGGTGCCGTCACAAGCAGAGCAGCAGTTGTTTGGGCTCCAACCCACAGGTTAAATTTCATAATCATTACTGATGAGTTTCATAAGCAGTTTTAAATCAGCAGAAGCCTGTTTTTAGAGATGTGACTTTCTGGCTTTACAATGGGCTCGTCCTGGTTCCCCACTGTATAAAACCTTAGCCATCTGGAGAACTGAACCAACAGAAAGAGGTCCCGGGATTTACTGAGTATTTTAAGAGATCTGTCTTTCTGTTTCTGCATGTCACTCCTATAATCGTACATCGGGCTTTGAAGTGATGGGCAGGAAATAGTCTGCTTTATTGGCTTCAGTGGAATGTTCCCTCGTTCTGTCTGCACCTTCTGGAGACCTGGCAGGTCTACCCAAAGGATCAACTAGACTTTTTGCCCCAGAGAACAGCCGAGAAAGTTGAAGGGCCTTCCGTTGCTTTCATCCTTTGACTTCACCCAGGGACAAACAATGTCCTCAGGGGGCACAGAAAGCCTGTGGACAAAGATTAGCAGCAATAAAGACTATGCTCAACCTCCAGGGACAATGAAATTTCTTGAAGTTTGCTTCTGTTTGTTCATGACATATTAATATATTTATACAGGCTGCCTGTGCATGCTTGTTTTTGAGCATCTATCAGCATCTACATTTGCTCACTTGATGGAAAGGTGACCTTGGGGAGTAAGCTCCTAAGTTCAAGTTCAGATGTTGTTTGGTGTAGCCTCAGAGGGTGATGAGCAAAGGAATCAACAAACCTTCTCAGAAGACTGAGAATAGAAGGTGCTTAACAAGATCTAGAGACTGACGCAAAAGAGTTCAGTGGCTAAGGGTGCATCAGTGACGATGTAAGAAACAAAATGTGTGTGGGTGTGTCTGAGGGGCCAGAGGGAGCAAAAAGAGATTAATGAAAAAGTGTGAAGGGCCAAAGAAAGAAGAATAGCAGAAGGAAGTGGTCTCAGCTTGTCAAGCCTGCCTTGAGGGGATCATTTATCACTATCAACAGTGTGTATGTATGGGTGTATTTACACGGGGTGGGTGTCCACGTCTCTTGCCTTTGGGTTTAGGGTGTTAAGGGAGAAAAGGGACAAACTTCTCTGAGGATATTGTATGGTTTGAAAAGATGAAAGTGTATGCATGAAAGCATAATATGTGTCCACTGGCATACCTTCAGTAGATGAAAGAAGACGTATTTGTGTCTGAGATGTGGAACTGGATGGAAAGAATGCAAAAAGAGGAACAGCTGAAGATGCGTCTTTAACCGTTTTCCCTCTTTTTCCACACGCTGAGCAGAAAAACCTTTACAAAACATAAATAAACCAAGGATGAAGAAAACAGGCCCACGATAATGGTTACTACATGTTTGTGTTCTTCCTCATCTTACATTTCATGCATGTCTGAGCTGGTGAAGCTCAACGTAGCTTGTTTAGCATGGGGGAATAAATCATAATGAGGAACTTCTAAGAGGCTGCAGCAAAGTTGAAAGAGAGAGAATAAAGGGCAAATAATTCGTATAATACCCTTCCAGTAATCCTGAGTTTGGAGTCATGACACATAGCCACTAATGCACACAAAAGCACAGATTTGCATGCTCATTGGCAGAAATGCTGCAATTAGGTGATTATCCTGCTAAACACAGCTCTTCTCATCTTGCAGGCGTCTTGATGCCAACCTCTTGTCTGATGTTCCAGCTGAGGCCTTTAGAGGCGTTCACTCTTTAAGACACCTGTGGTTGGATGACAACTCCCTGACAAAGATCCCTGTGGTGGCTCTGGACTCTTTGCCCTCCCTGCAGGCAATGACGTTGGCCCTCAACCAGATCACACACATCCCGGATTACGCATTTACCAACCTCTCTGCCCTTGTTGTACTGTAAGTGACAACTTTATTTGTTTTCCTGTAGCTCTACACTCCAGAGAAGTCCATTTTGTTTCATACTGACCAGAGTGGTTTGGGTGCAGAGCAGAACACAATGTCTGATCTACAAAACATTTTTTGTGAATTTTTTCCAGGCATCTCCATAACAATCGCATACAGAGCATGGGCTCAAGATGTTTTGAAGGTCTGCACAGCCTGGAAACACTGTGAGTACCTCTCTTGCTTTTGAAAAGCTGTTAAAAATGTTTTTCTTTCAATAATATCGAATGCACACAAACTCTGTCTTGAAGTAACCTTCAGATATATCTGGAATCTGATGATTAATACCTCAGAGGTAACGCAACCAAGAACCAGCATTTCTCACATTGTGTTCCTGACTCCTTCCTTGTATTTTGTGTGTGAAATATTTGTGAGCGTTACTAGGAAAAATTAAAATTAATGTGTTTTTATAAATCATATGTAAAGAGTGTGCCAATTTTTTATATTTTTTTTGAAGTGTGGCGTTAAATTGTAAAGTCATAATGATTAATGTGTCGGTAATTTCAGCAGGTGCTTGAACATTTCTCAAAACCACAACCAAAAACAGAACTGCAGGAATGCGAAGATGAAAAGATTCCCTTTGATTACCTTGAAATATCATCAGTGGATTTCTCTCTGTTTTTTTTAGGTAATTGCAAGGCAGTGCTAAGGTCAAGAAAAGCATAGAGTGGTTCCAGAAAATATACTTGTGCGTGTGCGCTTGCACATGTGTGTGTGTCATAGCTTTAATAACTATTGCATAACCACACACCAGTTTGAAGACTGCAGAAAACTGACAGTCTTGTGAAGGAGGTGAAGAAAAACAGCAAGACAAACTAAAAAAAGTTGCAAATGTGTCTCATATAAAATTCATGGTGGTCTGATGAAAACACAGTTTCTGGCATGCTGCTTAACAACCTGTTGAAATGAAAAAAAAAAATGTGTTGGTTTTTTTATGAGCATGTGTGTGGGCACATACAAGATTGTGTAAGAATATATGCAATCACCTCTGACTATGCAATCACTAGCGTATGGCCAGCTTTACGCTCAACTTAAAAGACATTATGCATGCTGGGAAATGTGAGAAAATCGGGTGTGAGTCAGGGTAGCCACGGTTTGAGAAGATGAAGGGAAACTAGAGAATGTGAAAAAGAGGGATGGAGCTCTTTGGATAAGAATAGTGTGAGCTAAAGTGTTTGAACCGTCACACAGATGATTCAGAGGGATAAGATGACAGGTGTCATTGACGTGGAGATTGTGGTGGTATGAAGGGTTAAGCTCTCAAGGCGGCTTTGCTTATGAGAAATATGAGACACCATCTGCATTACCACCACCTACCAACCCCTAGTATTATAAAAACATTAGTACCAGGAGTCGTCCAAAAACCTGCTGGAAAGCACAGTAGCAAACAAAACCGAGCATATACAAACAGGCACGCATTTCTGAGCAGCTACTGGAAAACACAGGTGTTTCACTCCGTTTCATCAAATGCATTTAGCTCTTTTAACAGCATAAAGAGAAACTCATTTGGGTAAAACTTTTAGATAATCTTGCTGTGAATCAATTAGTCTTTAAAGACATTAGTGCACACCTGCTGTGCCATATGTTTAAGTGAACACATGCTCAAGCATACACATGCAAGCTGATATGAACACCAGCTCTTCTTGTGTGCGTGGGAAACATGTGTTCTAATTAATATGTTTAAACTATACTTAAACCAAGTATCCATAATATTTAAATAAATTAAAGTTGTGTGAAACGCTTATTCTATGTACATTAAACTGATCCAACCAATCAGAGCTTGAATTCAGGGACTATGTGTCTATGCTGTGTGGCACTGGTATGTTTTCCAGTGGATTGTTTGGGTCTTGTGGATTTTAGAGTGTAGACTCTGTGGATCAGTAGTTCCAGTTCATCCTGTGGATGCTTGAATATATTAGGATAGTTCAGAAGTCAGTTGTTAAAGTCACTGTTGTACCTACTGCTGCAGACTTCTGAACACAAAAGTTTACACATTATCCTTTACCTCCCTGCTGCATGTCTCATATTATACTTTTAAAGTGGATATTTCACTATCTAGATGTCACTGAAAAAGCCCTTTTCTAGTTGCTGTCTTACCTGTCTACTATGAAGCAGTTGTCAACATTGATAACACTTGTGGGCCAGCAGCCTTGGTTAATCAAGGAGTACCTCAAGGCTCTAAATTTGGACTGATCTGCTTTATCATTTAGGTGTTTTTCTTTGGTCCAATTATTCACAAATATGCATCAGCACCAATCCAACCCCTACCTTTTCACCTCTCTTGCTGAGATATCCAAGCATGAATGTTTTCAATTCTAATGTATTTAAACTCAACAGCAGAAAAATTAGGCGTTTGATTGAGACCCCAAATACATTACGCAAGAAGATTAGATATACAGTACTGCCTTCTTCTTGATACAGATTTCTGCCACTTTTCATCTCAAAAACAGCTCAAGATTTTGACTATCACCATTGTGGTTTAGCAAAACCTCTTATTCATGCTTTCATAAACTTAATTTTAGACTACCGTGATTCTAGTTTGGGATGCCTATACAAGCTGTCAAAAACATTCAGTGTGTCAAAAATTCTGCTGCCAGTGTTCTTACCTGCACCTATCCTTGGCAACACATCATTTCAACCTTCATTCAGATTCACTGACTTCCTATTAGATCTCAGATTGTCTATGAAATCCTTCTCACCTACAAGTTTCTGTGTGGCTGTGCTCCTCAGTACTTCTTTAACCTCCTCCTTTTCAAACAATTTATTGTGAAAACTGTCATCACAATATCTAGTTTTGAGTATTTTGATGTATTGTGTTTAGTGTCATTGCCAATCTTACTTAGCAAACAGAAAAATAAAATATGTCCAAGTTACAAGCTAAATAAATTAGGGATGCACAATATTGGATTTTTGGCCGATATGCAATATGTTAAAACTTATTTGGCCTATAACTGATACCAATACCATTTTTTTCCCTTGACCTACTTACGTAGGCATATTATTTTTGTACTACTAGTGCTTAGCGTATTCTTAGTTTAGCATATTTCTTAGGTAATATCTTAGATCTTATTACTGTTTTTTTTTTTTTTTTACAGTTGATACTTTTGTTGGATGTAACAGGGACCCTGTGTACACAATTCCGTTCCACCCCATGTACCACATGTGGTGCGAATGACCATACCATACCATACCATACCATACCATACCATACCATACCATACCATACCATACCACTTTATTTATAAAGCACTTAAAACAGCGACAAGGCTAACCAAAGTGCTATACAGACAGAACAACAGGTAACACACAAAGCATGACAAATAGAGAAACCTTAACCTTACATAGACTACATAGCTTTCTCTGCTGTGGAACTAAAATACTACATTATTCTATATGGTCTTTATCAATTTGGCCTGCTACCAAATGCAGATGTCAAAAAGGGGGCTGAAAATGATGCAACACTTTTTACAAATCTAAACTCAACGGTGCGCGTAATTTCATAACGTGCATGTGCAGGCATCCTTGTCACTGGGTTGTCATACAAAAACAGTGCCTTACACACACACACACACACACACACATATATATATATATATATATATATATATATATATATATATATATATATACATATATATATATATATATATATACAGTATATAAACAGCACCTTTTATATCGGAGAGTTATTTTGATGGAATTGCCGATGTCCAATATTTAACTTTATTGTTCATATCGGCCGATACCAATACCATGCAATAATATTGTGCATTACTAAAATAAATAGTTAAATGTTATAGTTATATGAGCATATATGACATGATTTATTTATGTAAGAAAATGTGAACAAGTGATTTCAGGAACTTTGTTGAAACATATGTCTCCTTTAAGACTGCTGCACATTTTACTTAAGTTAAATAATAAAAATGTGTACGGGTAATCCAAACCAGCCAAAAAAAAAAAGTATAAATAAAGCCTGAATTAACAAAAAATCTTTGTTACCAAACAGTCACACTCACAAAATGTGTTGGATATTTTTTCTCTTGTTCTGTTTTATTCTGAAAATGCTCTGTCTGTAGGACTGTGTGAGAAGAAAGAAAAAGCCGTAAAGCCCCTTTACGTGCCATCTGCATGTGTGCATACTGCGATAATGGTTGTTTGGATAGTTTTTCATTGGAAACCTATAAACCAAATACCTAAATAAAATTAACTCTTGAGGCTTTATGCTTTGAGAAGTACAGTATACTGCTTTAGAGGCGTAAAAGTTTCAAGAGTTAAACTTTATCCCAACAGCTGTTAACCTCTGAAAAGGGAGAAAATCTATATTAAATATGTATATCTTTATCTGACATGTTTTTCTAGACACAAAAATATATTAAATCAGATTCAAACAACTTGTGATTTCCACCAAAAATAATGAGAAGCCTCCTGCATGATTTGGACCTAACGAGTACATAAGGACTATTTAACTTTTTTGCAGGGATTTAAACTACAACGATCTGCAGGAGTTCCCTGTGGCCATCAGGACGCTGAGCAAACTTCAGGAACTGTGAGTATGCGTGTGCACGTGCACACACAAAAAGACACCTGCCCAACATGACTATCATGGTTGGGCTATCCCAAGTAATCCCGTTAAGTGATTTTAATGTGGCACTCGGATACAATCTCTCTCGCCCCGAGCAGGTGCTGGCTACACACCCACGCAGCCACTTGCCTGCACATACACACAGATGCAGCGCACAAACACACACTAGCAGTGTTTTTCCTCGGCTTCAGCAGATGTTTCGCAGCGTGCATATGTGTCACAGATACAGCGTATGTGAGCATGTTTACATCTCATGTATCCACTAAATGTTCTTCAGCTGTGCAGCGGCAGGTGCAATATGACATATGACTTGCCCCTCACTCACAAACACACTTTGTGGCTCCTCCAAACACACCAAATCCTAAACACACTGATTGAAAGTATGACTAACTGCATGTTTTTATATTTTCAGGGGCTTCCATAACAACAATATCAAAGCCATCCCTGAGAGGGCCTTTGTGGGAAACCCTCTGCTCCAAACCATGTGAGTTTAATGCGTTATTCATAATGTTACAAATTGCACATGCAAAATAAACACAACTGAAATTTCATGTCAACATCTAGTACAACCCAATTTATCTCCGATGCACATGAATCAGCACGGTTTTGCATGCTTTTCCTCACTTTCTTGCAGTCATTTCTATGAAAACCCCATCCAGTTTGTTGGGAAATCCGCTTTCCAGTTCTTACCAAAGCTACACACGCTGTAAGTATGCGGTCAGTAAAAACCATTCCAGTGAGTTAGCACAAACACTCTTTAAATCATCCTCTGCCCTGTGCTGTGAGAGCTCAGTGGTCATGTGTAATAGTCCACTGAATGATGTTGTGTGAACATATTGCTGTGCGGCGTGACGATGTGGTAAGAGAGAGTGCGCTGTAAGAACATGTTGAATGGAGTGACTGATGATGTCTGGTGAGACGGCCAAAACAGCTCGTGTTGATGTTGGAGGAACGGTTTGATGGTTGAAATGAGCTGTTAGACAAGTTCTGGGTGCGTGAGTGTAAAAGAGGGGAGCAAAGAGAAAGACAAATGTCTTCAAAACTTTTCTTTTTTTGTTCATTTGTTTTACAGCTCCCTAAATGGGGCAGCCCAAATTCAAGAGTTCCCTGATCTGAAAGGAACGACCAGCCTGGAGATTTTGTGAGTATCAAACACACATATTTCACTTGAGATGTTTAATTCTAGGAGATATGGGGGAATTAACTAGAAAGGGATGGTTATGCCAGCCAGTGATATATTTGCCAAGTTAAACTAATTGCCTATCTGACCAAGATGGACTCACAGAAATAGGGGAGCATCTTTTGATTGCTGATGGTGTAGATTCTCAGTCATGAAGGCCATGACAGTCTAGAAGACAACTTAACTTCTTTAACTTGCTTCTTGAAGACTAGATCTAGACATCAACAATGATGGGTGAAACCTCTTTCCCCCTGTAGGACACTGACTCGGGCTGGTCTCTCAGCTCTCCCTCCGGATCTATGTGAGCAGCTGCCTCGCCTCAGAGTGCTGTGAGTTCACTCAAATACCGTCACACAGACAAGGAAGGGGGAAGGGGAGAAAATGACATAAAAAAAAAACTTATACACAGAAAACACATGTGGGGTGCTGTGACTCTGTACAATGAAATCCAATCACTACCTCCACTCCTTTCCTCCCCAAAATTAATGTCCTCTAGTTGTGCATTGCTCACAGAGCTGACACCCAAGTAATCCTGTCACCCCATAATTTCCCACACTTTAAACCCACAGCTGGTCAGTGTGGTTCTGAATGCTTTGTGTAACTGTTTTTAATTTTGTCGGATGTTGTAGGGAGCTGTCCTACAACCAGATTGAAGAACTTCCCAGCTTTTACCGTTGTTCAGCCCTGCAAGAAATGTAAGTACTTCTTGCTTTCAAAACAGTCCCAAAGAATCTGCCAGAATCCACGTATGTTCGTGTAAACTGTATGTAAGCGTCTATATTTCTCCACTCACAGAGGACTACATCATAATAAAATCAGAAGAATAGAGTCCACCACCTTCCAGCAGCTCACCTCTCTCAGAGCTCTGTGAGTCCATCTTTGTTCTAACTTTGCTTTCTCTCATGATTGTTGTGAATTTTCTTTCCCTCTGACAGGAACTGAACTCTGAACTGCCTTTTCGTATCATCACGTGGGTGTTAGGTCATCAGTAAAATCACTGGGTGGATGTTGCTTTTGATGTTTTTCCTGGTGCTTTTTCTGGACTATCGCAATGGTTTATTATCTGGGTGTCCAAATACTTATTTAAAAAGTATTCAGTTAATCCAAAATGCTGCTGCCAGAGTCTTAACTGGAGTTAGTAGGAGAGATCATCTCCAGTTTTAGCTTCTCTCCACTGGCTCCCTGTCAAATTCAGAACAGAATTCAAAATCTTGCTTCTGACCTACAAAGCTCTCAACAACCTAGCTCCATCTTATATTAGAGATCTTATTGTTCCATATTTTCCTAACAGAGCACTTTGCTCTCAAACTGCAGGTTTACTTGTGGTTCCTAGTTTCCAAAAGCCGAATGGGAAGAAGATCTTCCAGTTATCAGGCTCCTCTCTTGTGGAACCAACTTCCAGTTTCTGTCCGTGAGGCTGACACATTGTCCAGTTTTAAGACTGGGAGTAAGACTTTCCTTTTTGATAAATCCTAAACAGTAGTCCCTCGTTTATCGTGGTGGATCAGTACCCTGAAGCCCCGTGATAAGTGAAAAACCGTGAAGTAGGAATAGTAGTAAAGTAGTAGTTTATTTTAGTATATATATAGTGTGTGTGTGTGTGTATATATATATATATATATATATATATATATATATATATATATATAT